AGCAGTCAGGTCATCAATCAACACCAGTGACCCGGTTCCATTGGCAGCCATGCATGCCCATCCCATAACACTGCCTCCACCAGGTTTGACAGATGATGATCATGAGCTGTTCTTTTCTTTCTCCATACTTTTCTCTTCCCATCATTCTGGTGCAAGTTAATCTTGGTTTCATCAGTCCAAAGAATCTTATTCCAGAACTGGACAGGCTTTCTTAGGTGTTTGCTGGCCTTAGGTCTAATTTGGTCCTTCTGTTCTTGAGTGTTACCAGTGGTTTGCACCTTGTTGTGAAGCCTCTGTATTTACATTCATAAAGCCATCTCTTGACAATGTCAGGTTCAGCCTGACTCAGCACATGCCATTCGAGCTAGCCGCCACTCTGCCTAGCTAAGTTCAAACACGCCTGGTCAGCTTCCTTGCCTCAGGCGCAGGCGATCGAAACAGGAAGCGCTAACCGCAAGTAAACTGCCAACAGGTGGTGGCAATCAGCCCGTGGCAGGATTCAATTACTTTGTAACAAGCGGGACTTCCCCCAGCCACCACAGGCAAGCAGCCAACAATAGAAACAAAGAGCTCTGCAGCTCAAGCTGCACTCAGCCGCCCATCAAGCGCAATCATGAGTCAGCCTCATGGGACCTGCCTCGCAAGCAAGACAGCCAAAAACAAAGGACCCCGGCTGAACCTGCCATTGGACCGAGGTGGGGAGAGCTGGGGGCAAGGGACGAGACAAGGATGGGCAAAAGCAGGTTGGGGCGGTCAACAGGCAGGACTTGCTAAGCGCGGAAACGGGGAGACTATAAAATGCTATGTAACCTATGCCAAACCAACTCTGGCTTTGTTTGTAACCACATGCATTACACCTGAGTAAATTGCTTTCGTATGAGCCTGGATCTCATAGGGTCTTTATTCAGCGATGAGTGCGGCAACTCTTACAGACAATGACATGCCTACCTCCTCAAGAGCTAAATGTTGTGAAAGGTTCCTCTTCACCATGAGCAGAATTCTGCGGTCATCCACTGTAGTTGTCTTCTGTGGTCTTCCAGGCCTTTTGCTGTTGCTGAGCTTGCCAGTTAATTCCTTCTTTTTCAGGATGTTCCAATCTGTTGTACTGGCCACTCCCAATGTTCTTGCTATCTCTCTGATGGTTTGTTTTCTCAGCCTAATGATGGCCTCCTTCACTCGCATGGATACCTCTTT